TAATGGCTGTGGCTGCAGCTGTGTGCAGGGAGTGTTCAAGAAACAGGCAAGGTCCAGCTGCAAGTCAGTTGTCATTTCAGGATGGTATAAAAGGATGAATTTTCCTTGTACAGGGATTTATCCAATGAATCTGGCAGGTTTCTTCCTTCAGGGATTTCTTTGTTTTTGCAGTAGCTTTAATCTAGAAAGCCTTTTCACCACCAGCTGCAGCAGTCTCATTCAGCTTCATCTTTGCCTTTCTGCTGTTATATCCTGCTTTAGTAATTTTTGGTGTGAGATCCTTTGTTTTATTGGCAGTATCTTACCAGGTGCCAGCTTCCACAAGGTTCCTCTGTAATGTCACACAGACTTTCCACTGCATTTAAAAATGTAATATCTCTTTGTCTCTTTGCACTGCTATTTAATACAAATATGTCTATTTTTAATAAATGAGAGCCAGTGGGCAGAAACTGTAACACATGAGGTTCCACCTGAACACAAGGAAGAAATTCTTTACTGTAAGGGTGAGTGAGCACTGAAACAGGTTCCCTAGAGAAGTTGTAGAGTTTCCTCCTCTGGAGATAATCAAAAGCCATCTGGACACAAGACTGAGTAATGTGCCCTGCTTGGGCAGGGAGGTTGGTCTGCAGGGTCCCTTCCAACCTTTCCTATTCTGCAAAAATATGAAGGCCTTGCAGGTTCAGAGGCGATGGCAAGTGTGGTGAGGTTTTACACTACAAATAGATTCACTGCTGTAATCCTTCTAGTCTTGTCATTATTACTGCTTTGTTGTGATACAGCTTCTGCTGTCAACAACCGTTAGTTTATCCCTGGAAAAATAAAGTAAATGTGCTTCTTGCAAAACTGTCCTTAAGAACAGCTGGATAATACCTTGTAACAACTGCAGTCATCTGTAGCAAGAGCAGTGGAAAATACCCAATATCTCAATGTTCAGTGCTGCATAAAATGCCTTAAAAATTGATAGACTTTTGGGTGTAATATTTACCATCAGGCATGCTGAGCCAGTATATTTCTAACTGGGGAAACTGCTTAAGCATGTACATGATTTTCAGCACCTGTCTAATCCTCTGAACTCATGTCTGTGGTGTGTAGCTGTGCATGTGTAAAGTGTTTTTCTGAAATGGCCTAGACTAATATGGGAAGACTCTCCTCAGGCTTGAAGTGAAACAAGGGAGAGTCCTTTGTGCTTAGGCAGTACTGTACCAGCCAGAGGTTCTTAATGTCCCCCTGTGCCCCCTGAAGTGGGAGGTGTGATGTGCTACCTTCAGTCTGCTTTCAGTTGCTATAGAATCACCAGGCACCTCTATGGAATTCTGAAGATACCAGGTAGACACTGGTTATCAGGCTTGTGTAAGCTTCATTGCAATCTTATGATTCAGAGCCTTCAGTGTAAACAAGTGAAAGCCTAACAAGTTGAAAATGTAAATAATGTTATTGGAAAAAAGTAATGTATTACAACATAAGATCAAGTTGTTAGCTACTTGGCTATTCAGAGTATGGGCTGTGTGTCTCCACCTGTACAGCTGTTCTCTTGCATCAGCTTACACATGTTTATTAATGTGTTTTGAAGATGGATCACATTTTTCAGAGTACTTCAGCACTTTGGGAACTCGGTCCTGCAGAAAACCCCAGCCCAGCTGTAGATGTTGAGCACAGAGGTTCTTGATTGCTGCTGAGCATGGTAGCTGCACTACCTACATCTGCTTGTTCTTTCTTTTTTTCCTTCTTTTTTGTTTTGTTTAAGGTCTCTCTATGTGGCAAACAGGATATGTGTGTATCTGAGCACCAAATTAGAACATGCTTACTGTAAAGGAAACCTTTCCCAGCTGAGTTTATTTAGAACGTAACCAGTAGGGGAACAAGAGATGCAAAGAGAGGGTGAACTCTTTCAAGAGAAGCAGCTGTGGAATATTCACATGTATGTCAACAAAACACTTAAGAATGAATGGCAGTGGCATGTTATTGAGTTTTTTAACAGAAATTCTGATTCATTTTGCCTTTGCTTACAACTGTACTCATACACCGTTATGCATGCTTGTGTACAAATCTGAAGCTCTTGTCTTTAATAGCTTGAACTTGTCTCTAATAAATAGTCTGAACTTTTGTTTGACCCTTAGACCATAATAATTAATTCACAGATGTAGCATAAGTTGTATTACAGGTATCCTTCAGGGTAGCATTGTAAAACTCAAGGTTATTCATTTACTCACAGTTTCCTGCAGTAGAATTCCCCACCCCATGCAATGCAGCAGAGGAAGCTGTTTGGTCCCCTGTGGGTTGCAGAAGGATGGGTATTTCTCTTTGCAGTTCTTTGTGGAAAAAGGTGATGAAGGAAGTTCTGCTTCCTTTTTCTGTGTGTGTGTATTTTCTTGATCTTTTTAACAAAGTGAACTTTCCCTTTTCACTGGTGGTAGATGATGGTTTTTTTGTGCTCTGCCTGGCCTTAGAGGCCAATTAAAATCTTCTTGAAGTAGTGGCAATTACAGATCAGAGTAGTTTTATTTCAGATGTTCTCATCTAAATATCTTTAGTTGCTGTAGAATTCAGTGGACTCCTCTGTATTGAACTGTCAGTTTATTATTAGGCTCACCAGTAATTCTAAGTGAATATTAAATTCACTATTAAGCTGTTATTTCAACTGATCTTACATACAATATTTAACACGTTAGTTTAATGGTGACAGTAGTACTATCTTTCTGTTAGTTTTTTATCTATATAAAAAGGCTAAAAAAAATAAAACAGATGTGTTTCAAACTTCAGATGCCATTAGTATCAAAGGGGTTGTTTGCCTGCTCAGTGCCTTCCACGCTGATGTTGAAGCTAAGCTTTTATGGTTAGCCATTATGGTGTAGTTTTAAGAGTAAAAGGGCACTCCCTGTTTCTAAAACTTTGTTCCTAGCACTTGATTCAGTCCAAGCACTTAGTGCATGCCAAGAAAGCGACCTTTGCTAACTCTTCCAGTGAATACAGGGCTGTGTTCACACAACTGGCTGTGCTGCATGCGAGCCCGCGGGAAGAACGGAGCAGGCTGAGCACGGGCTGATTCCTTCCGTGCTCCAGAGCTGCCTGTACACAGTGGACAGGCAGGCAGCCTGGTTCTGAATGAGTTTCTGGCAGTGGTTGCCTGACTATTGGAGCACAAATTTTTCAACCCTATTTTCTCTCTCTCTCTCTTTCTTCTCTAATTCCTTATAAAACAAATTCGAGGATTTTATGCCTCGCATCTTAATGTCAGTAGATGGGAACAAACTTGAACAACCTTCTGTTTGTAGATTTGTTTCCTAGAAAGTGACCTGTGTTATGAACTTTGTAATCTTGTATTTAAATTTATTCTCTGTGTTATGTACTAATACACTTACATGTTACCAAGTCAAGTTTTGTGCTGGTAGGTTTTTCCCATTTCACAGTTTACCTAGGTTGCCCTACCTAGTTAGCACACATAACTATGGGTGGAGTTAATCTGCAGTCTTCTCCTTATAGAATTGTCTGTCAGGCTTCAAAGGGCTACATCACTGCAAATTCTCAATGGAAATAGTCCATGCAGACCTTGGATCCTACAGAAGAGATCCTGCTCTCTTGCATCGACTGAGAAAGTTGAGGTTCAAAGCTAAGATGGCAGGACTGGCACCAAAGCTAGACAGATCATTGTTAGCTGCAGATTGCCACGAGACGAAGGTGTGCAGTCCCCAGCAAACCAAGAATTATCTTTCAACTTTGACTCTGGTCATTTCTGAGACACTTCACACTTGGATTGCTTCTAGTGGACTTTCTGCAGTCCGTTACTCACAGGAACATTACTTACTCTCTCCATGAACTTGATTCTGCTCTTTGAAACTGCTGATGAGATAAACTTGAGTGTGCTCATGTTTTCTCTTTGCAACATCTTGCAACAGAAAGATGTGACTAGGGTAGGATAACAGGGAGCAAAGTCCAGTAGTATGTGTTTCTGGTCTGTGTACCTGGGAAGATGATAAAAGCTACTATGAATTTCCAGCTTCCAGGGAGGGACCTTTGCTAACTAGAAGAATCTATCTAAGGTGATGTAGCTGTGAAAACTTCAAGCACAGAGTGCCATTTACCAAGGTCTCCGTGAAATGTTATCTGAACACTGCTTGAAACTGTCTGTTCGAGAAGAACTGCTGGCATGACCAGTCAGTGAATGTCTGACTTGATATAAGAGACTTACATTGATTTGTTTAATCTAGACTACCTGGGCATTGGGACTGACACTGAGTGCTGTCTCTAAAGCATTAAGAAATCCACTCTGGGGAAGAAAAAGCAATTAGAGCTGGAGGATAATGTTGGCAGAAGAACAAATGGGTTTAAGCTTAGAGGAAATGTTCCTAATGTTTGAGAAGAATCAGGCTCCACGGCAGTTTTCCAACCACACAGTTGAGGGGGCAAATCTCAGTTGCTTTCAGGATAGATGTTGGTGCACTGATAACATTATTTGATTTGAGATTTGAGATTATTTGATATTCACTCTGTGACTGTTAGGAACTGAATTAATGATCCAAAAGGGCCCTGTCCCAGTAAGAAATCAGTAATAGAACAGCTGCTTCATCATTTAGAAGTTACCTAAAATTAAGTGTTGGTTTAGGAAGCCTGATCATCCTGCAGTGGCAAAAAACTGGCAGATGTTGGATCACTGTATTGATGCAGCGCAATGTGACAAAATCTCGGGTCTCTCATCCTGTCTGTGCATCTTTAGGTCTGAGTCTGGGGTTTTTCCTACCTTATTGGCATGAAGCAGAGTACCATAGGCTTGTATGTTCTTTAAGTTCACAATGACAGCCAGAGAAATATGTTCATAGGTTCCAAGAGGACATTGAGGAGGTTACATATCATCAAATAATAAAAATTACCCCTTCTTTCTCAATAAACAAAGAGAGGGGTTTGAGTTTTCTTTCCCTCTTTTGAACAGGAAGCATATATTCATTGTGTTTAAAAAACAATTACCAAAATGTCAAAAATATTTTTTGTCTCTCTTTTTTTCCTAGTTGGGGAATGGCGGTCAACGTGTACTCTACCTCTATAACCCAGGAGACTATGAGCAGACATGACATCATTGCATGGGTTAATGATATATTAGCTTTAAACTACACAAAAGTTGAACAACTCTGTTCAGGTAAGAAAGCCCAGTATGCTCTATAAATGTTTATTTTAAAACCACTTTAAAAGTCTGATTTGTTGAAAATAGATAACTTTTAACTTTGACAGAAACCAGTTACTCTGAAAAAAGAGACTAATGTATGTGCACAGGAAGCATTTTTACATTTGTGTTAATCATGGGAAGATAAGGTACCTTGGGAAAGCATAACAAAGGCAGAGGTGAATGGGACAAATGTAGCAGGAGATACATAGAAGTAATAAAAAGGTTAGCTAAGCAAGCAAAGAATACAGTGATAAGTTTTAGTGTTTTTAAGCCACTGGGGTGGTATCTTTTCAAATGGAGGGTGGATATAACTGAGAAAGAGACAAATAGAGAATCAACACCCTAGATGAACAAAATTCCCCAGCTCCTTTTCCTTCCTGAAAAGGTTTCCTTGAGGTTTCTCAAGTCCCTGCTGATGCTTGCAGGAAAAAAGCACAAGAAAAAGACTGAAGAAAAAACATGGATTTGAGGAAATGAGGCTTTCGTTGCTGTGAGGGCTTTAGAACTTTCAAAGTTTGCCTCTTTCTCTTTAAATCTGAGTTACTGTTATAAGTATAATTGGTAATGAGCCCTGAAAAAAGGGTAATAGTTTGAATACTTCAGACATTTTGGTTAATCAGAGTTGCAACCAGAAGATGGGTGTTAAACAACAGGGTCTGTAACTAGATGATGGCTAGAAATGACACAGAAAAAGGCTGATGTTTCACTGTGAATATACATGCCCCTGGGGAATGATTTCTTTCTGATTTCCAACTGTGATTTTTAAATTTGAAGATGCTTGGTGGAGGAGGAGTTTGTTTGTGGTGGAGGAGATCTAACTTAGATTGCTACTTCCAGACAACTAACATGCTGGGACTATCTTATGAAGGTATTATATTATCTTATGAAGACAGTGCTCAAAGCACATGGAAGAGGAGCCACATGACCAGACTTCAGCTATTTCTTGGTCTAGACAAAATGAATGAATGGGATCTTATATTCATATATTTGATTTTTCCTATCATTCTGGGTAAATTTTTTGTCTCAGAGATGTTCCCTGAAAGATGGAAGTAATCCTTTCAGGCTGATTGTCTTCAAAATTAAAAAAAAAACAATTTTCAGCTGCAGAAGTAGAGTATCATACTTGCAGCCTTGCACAACAACCATAAAAATGAGGTTGAAAAAGTGCAGGATAAAGTCAATGTAAGCAACTGATGTAATCTGAACAATTAAAGACCTAGACCATGGGAAATTATTTTTTTAACTGGTATTAAACTTGAAATTGAAGTGTTATCTCTAGCTGTTGTTATATTTACATGTCAGGAAGTTAGCCTAAGTATTTTATTTCAGTATATATAAAGGCAGAATTCACACAGGGAGTAGCTATAGATAGATACAGATAGATACATGCATGCACACACTGAAGGAGATAAAAACATAGAAGGAAATGGACGTTTGCATCCCAAAATACCCAAAGTTTGCTATTGTTTGAAACAGGAAGCATAGTAGACAAGTTATTGACTTGTTCCTATGTAGCTATTTAAATGCTTATAAATAGTTGAAAGGAAGCTTTTGAAGTGAGTTCTCAATCAAGTTAAATGTGTGTGGGCTTACACAAAAAAACCCACCAAGCAAAAAACTAGCTAAGACATAAAAAACTTCATGAAAACCGTTTCTGAAAACAGGGGAGAGGTGATTGAAGAAAATATTGACTAAGCAGAATAAAATGAGTTAAAGTTATGTAAGAAGATCAGATAGAGAGACTTCAGCTGTGTGGGGTAAGAAGGGGGAAAAGCATGGGAACTGTCACAAATCCACTGTCCCATTTCATTACACAGCTTCTTATACAACTTTTTCTGTGACCTACAGAGAGGATTTTGGGACACACCTCAAGGGAAGAAGTGAAAAAGGGTCAACTCATTGCAGCTCTTACTCCATTCTGTATAAAATTAAATCTTTTCTTCCTTTAGAATTTCCTGGATTGTATTGATTGTTATTGCTACCTGATGCTTCTACATTCTTGTCTTTATGAGTGAAAGCTGTTAATTTGAATTTCCCCATTTGGTTTGGTAGTCGAACTTGATGCTTACACATTCCTGTTTTTACATTCATGTACTTTACAATCCAGAAGGGGCTTTAGTAGCTTCTTATCTAAAGAAGCATTCTAGCACAATACTTCCTGTGTTCAGGAGGACTTTACTCTCCGAACTGATGAATCTAAACACTGATAGATTTTTGCAGACACTAGAGCATAGTAATCTTAATATGTTCTTCCCATTTGAGACTGCATAGTCCATTGCTCATGTGCAGAGCATCCATGTGTAGGGATTGAAGACAGATGGACAAGCAGGTTTGGGAATCTTTCTGCATTTAATATAGTTTACTGTGTAAACTCAACGCAATTTATTAAATGTACATATATTTTATTTAGCCTATTTCTAGCATAGCTTTTAAGAGCAATACTAAGGGAACAATAGCACAAATGATGAGCCAACTAGCAGGCAGAGCACCAGCAAGCAAGCATGGTATGGACTGCAGTTTGAGAATGGCCAGTCTAACTCATTCATTCTGGCATTCCTTGGCTGATATCCCTTGAACCATTGGCAGCTTTCATGCAGATTAATGCTTGTTTCCATAAAATATGAGCATTTCTCCAGGACTTCAAAGGGAAGGAATATGTGGGAAACTCTTTACAGCTATGAAGCATTTCACAGCATTAACAAGGATCTGCAGAGCTGCCGTAACTGAATTTTTATAATCTACTGTAAAATTGTGCGGACATTTTCTTCTTTTTTAGAAAAAAAGCATTAACATTAGTCATGCTGTTTTATGACTATTCAGTTCTTGCTCATTTTTGTTAATAAGGAGCAATCAAAATGCCAGGAAAAGCTAAATGTGAGGCCAAAAAATGTGGGAGAGGGAAAGCAGGGGGGATGTTATATCTGAATTAAAAGCTCAAAGGAGTTACTTTTAGGAGGTAAGAGCAACCTAGATATGGCATATGCTGCTGTTCAGCACCTGGCTGAGAGACCTCACGGGTGCCCACATTTTGCAGCCAACCCAGCAATAATTTTTGACATTCAGAGCTTAAACAAGAAGGAATAATGTGACATTCTGCCTTTACTAAAGGCTTTATTCAGAACATATCTGAAGCTTAACATGACAGTAGTTACAATGACAGAAAAAGCAATCTGACCTCCTTTTCCTCATTGCTGTGGAGAAGTAGCTTTGATAATACACATACTCTAGCAATACCAGCCTGTTTCTCAGTTTCCACTTAGAGGAACAGAGCTTCTAGGATGAGGAGCAGCAAAGGAAGAGGTTGGCTTAGTCATAAAGTATTTGTATTCTTTGGGAGTCTTAGATGTGGTTTTTGTCTCTGCTAAGTAGGCCGAGCAAAGTGCAGTGTCCCCTGAGCTTTCTGAATGCCTGCTGTGGTAGTGATGTGCCAAGAGAGCCAGGTTATGGATGGGTGCAGCCCTGGAGAGTCTTGCTTCAGTCTGCAGCTCCTCTGGTAATTTAGTTTTGACAACTGAACAGGGAAAATCTCTCCAAGCATCTCAATACAATTCTTTTTGCTTTAGACATGTGTCATATTGTCAGTCTTTGGACTCTGGGTTTGATTTCCTGCAAAATTGTTTTACCTGAACATGAAATTTATAAACCATGGTTTTAATAGAAGGCACAGTGCATTCCCTTTAGATTGGCTTTAGAGAGAGCATTTCATTTGATACATGAATTAAATATTATAGAGAACAATTGAGAGGATGTAATGTCGTAGGATCCCATGTGCAAAACCCATAGGTTTGGGGAACAAGAGTTTCATATGAAGTATGACATTGGTTGTTTCTTAAGAGTCATGCTGTTTTTTAAGGAATACACAGTGGTTTCTTAGAAAGAATTCTGACTAAGCAGCTTATAGCTGAATTTTCTTTAGTAAGGCTGTTTTTCATCTCTAAGGAATACCAAGTGTATGTGTTGCAGGGCTTTTCATGACTGTGAGAGTGTTACATGAGAGTATATTCAAAATAAGAGTCAGGCAGGCGATTATAGAAGGCTTGTATATGAATTAAAAAGAAATAACACCATGTCTACAAGCTGTATAATGTCAAGGAAATGGTAAATGGATAGAAAGGAAAATGTGGCCTGGAGCCACATTTATAATTTTTTGGTATTATTTTTGACTTAGCTATACTTCTGTGATTCTATGAGATTAAGGAGATACAGACTCTCCCCACTTCCTGTATTTGAAAATTCTCAGTAGAATTATAAACTTGCAAATTGTCAGACCCCCAGTGCATGCAGACCTTCTGTCTTTGAGGATTTGTATGCAAGGATCAAGGATTGAATGCAGGGTTGTTTTTTCCTTGCTTTTAATAAATGGCTCTATTATAAAGAAAGCATGTGGTTTGGCATTTTCAGATTTTATTCTGGGGGTTAGCTGTGTAGGATTTGTGTTTCCATGTCTCAGAACATGTATTTTGTTCACTGCCTATATTAACCCATAACTTCCTATATGCTTATTGCTAAAATCTGCCTTATAGGGCCCTTTTGGAGCATTTGATGCAAGCAAGCATTCCTCTACAGCCCAGTGTGCCCAAGAAGCCAAAGCATGTTTCCATGTTGGTGGTTTTGGTTTTTTCCCAGTTGGCAGCCTTGCAGAGCTTGGGTCTCTAGCACAACTTAGGAACATGATTAAAACATGGCTTGATCTCATTTGTGCTCTGTAACCAAGGCATGTTTCAAGGAACTGGCATGTTGTCCTGAGGTCATGCAACACAGAGCATACTCAGTGTCAATGACTCTCTGATATCTTCCATATGATATTTAGGATTAGAGGGATACTATGAATGTTAATGATGGGATTTAAATAATTTCCAAAACTTTCTGAGGACACTTGAAAAGCAGTATCATGAGATTCCCAGCCAATAATTTTTTTTTTAAATGTCACTCATTAAGAATTTAGGAGGAATAGAACTTGAACAAGGTTTTTG